AGAATCTTTAAATATGTTTTACTTGAATGTTTAACTTTATATTATTAATATTCATTACATTAGCGGCCCCTGGTGGTTCAACGTGGTGAGGTTCCATTTATATTATGTTTTTTTATTAAAACGTTTTATAAAATTTCGTTAAACAAATGTACATACGTTTTAGGTAACTTATGACTTGCAAAGCAATACAAAAAATTGGCGTTGTTTTTGCGCGTAAAACATAATAATAATAAAAAAATAAGTTTTTTTCATATTTTTGCTAATTTATTTGGCTATTTGTCGGTTAAGTTGCATATCCGTGCGCCTTAAAAATAAACTTTTATCCAAATAATAATTTCGGTAAATAACGGCAGCAGTATTATTTCTTTATTATTATACATTTAATAACCATTTTCGAAAATAGATAAATTATTATTTGTTTTTAGTATTATACCCGTATTAAAATTAACTGACTTGTAATAATGTTATAATGATATTATCATTTTGCATTTAGTAAACATTTAGAAAAAGTTTATAATTTATTTCTAAACGGGTATATGACAGCAAACGAAACCGAGTCGTATTACATTTTGAAAGAACATTCAATTGTAGTTATTAAAATAAATATAAGACATAATAAAGTCTGACAATAAATAAATGTAGGTACTTCCGTTGGCCGGTAGATGGCAGCAGTAAAATATTAAGAGCCACAAAGCGATTCATTTTTTTTTTTTTGGAAGGATTTTATTTTATGTAGCTTTTTAAACGAACAATTTTCTCATGTCTGTGGTTAGATCTGTTAGACGGATTTGACGGTCACAGAATTAGGTAATATTGTTTTAGAATGGCGTCAAAACGAAGACATTCTCATTTATAGTGTCTTAAAAATCTCGTCAGTGTGAGATAAATGATCAAGCGGCATCCGATTCAGATTTTGGTATTTCAAAATATGTAACAGATGCCTCGTTTCATTAGGTACTTACAACAACAAACAAATCAATTCGGTGCCGAATTCAGCCAATCGATATCAAAACAACAAACTCCATTTTGAACACATTTTAGACGAATGATATAATTATGTTTTTTACAAAAACCAGCTCGGCACATATTCTACACAACCGGATGAGGTTGGCCGAGAACCTCCGAAGACGAAGAAAACGTCCAACGTAGTAGGTATAGTGTAAAAAAAAAAATATCACATTAAAAATAATTATTTTTGGGAATTCTTATAATATGCTAGGGGACACGCACAGACCTGTGTGCAACGGTATTTACAGGCGGGGGAGGAGGAACAACAAAAAAAGCAAAAATCCTACACAGGGTAGGTCATAATAGGGTCCGAGTGTGTGTATGGGAAAAAAACCCCGCCTAGGGTAAACCCGTATGGGGGAAAAAAATTACATATATACATTTGTAGTAAATACACACACACACACAACTGGACCTGCTCTTGTTGACTCCGAAGGGGGCAGTTTTTTTTTTCTTCCTTTCCTTTCCATCCCGAAGACGCCCGAACCCTCTTCTTCTTTGTCACGTACCGCAGTCAGTCCCAAGGCGGTCCGTTAAGACCCGTGTAACCTATATTATCCTAAACACCGACCCGAGCGACCCGACAGGATCTCACTGGTGTAGATCAACGAAATTATCACCAGAAGAGAGGTGGGGGACGACATTTTGGAATTGTCGGTTATTTTTGGGGAAAATATTTTCACAAAAATCTTCAGCCACAAGCCCAAAATCAATTATAAATATTCTGTTGTTTAAAAAAATATGATAACTGTTACAATGAAACATTATTTGGTTTTAAAAAATATTCGATTGTGGTTATTACAATATAAAAAAAAAAAAAAAATTGTATATCCATTTTTGGGATTTAGACCCAATTGTGAATGAATCAACAATTAACAGGCATCTGAAAAATAAAAAACCAACTCTGCCTATTAGAAACAGTGGCAACGAATCACCAGAAAAGGGCAAAGGCAGACGGTTAACCCCAATCGTATCTACCCTATTTGGTAATAAAACAACAATTATTTTTTATTGTATAACGTAATACCAATTTTACATGTACCATGAGTTTCCCAATCGTCCAGCAGATTATCTGTGCTTTGCCAATGAGGTAACCCAACAAATTAAATAACGCGATTGGCCATAATAAGTATGAGATTTACACAATAAATGTGTAAACCCATTTCGCTCCATGTCCGCTGTGGGGTTTTGCGATAATCACTGTAAAGCGTGTCGGCCACTCTGGGGAGGGTGTGTGTTATCAAAAATATGTTCAAAAATCAAAACCGTAACCTGACTGCATTAGCAGCAGGTACGTCTGAACCAAAATATGTCAACAACAACAACAGGTCGGCGGAAACGAAGGTTAATCGGTACCGAATTGGCGGGTCACCACTCGTTAGCACTACGGTCAATATTCATACCTGTTGTGTGTTATATAACACACAATATAAAGTAATGATATGTCATCATTTATATTGTTGTGCTGCGTAACGTGCAGATTTCAATTATTTAATAATATCAACCTCAAGAGCTCTAAAAAAATTCTTTTCGCCCATAACGTTTTCACGAAGGATTTATAAAAACGGGTAAACATTTTTTATAGTCTTAAAAAATTATTATGATCTTACTCGCCCAATAATAATATTGTTTTTATTAATTAGAGAGTCTGTCGAATATTTTTTTTTTAACTATTATTTTCACAAAGCTATTTATACTATGTAATATCATCTCTTTTTATAATATTGACATATGAAGGGCACAGGGGAAAAACGATAGTTGTCACATTATGAACATTTTTTTTTTCAAATAGTTTTTTTTTCAATTTATGTCAATAGAGTGTTTAAATAAATACATTTATTATTAGAGTAGCATTTGATGTGATTTTTTTTGTTCTTATGTAAGAGGTAGAGGAATTCACGAACTTTGTTTTTGCTATACTCTAAAATTTTCATGATGTGACAACTGCCGTTTTTCCCCTGTGCCCTTCATACGCAAAAATGTCTACTGTCAAATGACTGATTTTTGGTGTAACAAACAGTACTATTCGGACTATTACTTACAGAGAAATTACAAAACGGATTTTTTAATGGTAAATTGAGACAGGGAATATTTTGTTTTGGCCATCCTGAACAATTAAACAAAAAAAACTCCATTTAAAAACATGTTGTGTTGTTAAAAGATACTTTTGTTGCACCACAAAAATTTACAATCTAATAAAAAAACATGTCGTTGGTTCAGCTCAAACACTAATGGTTTAAGGTAAAAAAACAAAAACATCAAACTAAAAATGTAGTGTACCATGATCAAAAATGTTTTCAAAAAAAAAAAACCTATAAAATAACAGTACTTCTAAGAGCACACTGGTGTAGGGCGTTAAAAGAATCCAACGGTAGAGCGTCAATAATACATCTCATACTTGACCAAATTTTAAATTTGATAAAATTGCATAGGGCACCCCTCAAATGTAACTTGTAAGTCCTGTTTCCTAAGCGTTGACAGACGAGGTAAGCACGTCACCGCTAAATGGCAGGGTCTCTCCCCCCCCCCCCAAATTAATGTCTGCCCGTGGATGTCACCCTGGCGTGTACTAAACTGTACAAAATATTTATACAAACCTAACTTATAAAATAAGTGTCGATCCTCCCACGTTCGGGTACGGGACCAAAAACCGGTTTCGGGGGGTATGTGTAAAATAATAATATATAATAGGTATACACTGTAAGTATAATAGTAATAATTTTTTGAAAAAAAAAAAAAATAATAACTTCAATACCGACAACCCCCCGATGTGGCACACGGGGGAGGCCGACGACTTTTGGGGGTGTGTGTGTGTGTGTTGTGTGCGGGCGGACTGCAAAGGGGTCGACGAGCACAAACGACCGACGATGGTGGTGTACGCTGTACACATACAGGGTGATCGAAATTTCACTCAACAATATATTTTATTCCATTGAAATTAATTGTACTTAAGCTAAAACAATAATTATTCTAAATGAAATATATATATATATATATATATATATATATATATATGATATGTACCGATAAAAACGGCTTTCGGTGTCAAGCAAAAAAAAAAAAAAAACCATTATAAATGCTAATTTCTATAAAAACAAAACCTAACATATTTGATTTACATTATAAAATTTAATTTTAATAAAAAAACAAAAACAAGTCGATGACCAGTTTTAAATTACTAGTTCTCGAGCTGTTAGCGTTAATAGATAGGTACGGACGATGTGTGAGGTAGTTTTTCAACTTAAGTTCTAAGCATTTTATTGAATAATATTAGCAACAAGACGTAGGTATATTTTTTTATTTTACGACTCTATTTTTTATTTTTTATTCAAAAACGCCTGTCTTGTTTTTATAATGATCACACTTACACCCAAAACCCACCTGAGTTGAAAATGTTTCCAAAGGTGAAAACTTGATTAAAATGTCCCAAACAAAAACGTCCTAATCGGCGAACGTACCAAAAAATTTGTACTTAAAATTGTTTTGAAAATCCGGGTTTTTCTTTTTACAGGCATTTTTCTTTTTTGACTGGACAGGGGCGGAGATCAGTGGGAGGGGGATTGGGATACTAAAAACCTTAAAACTTAAATTAAGCGCTTTTCAAAATACCTACATACATTTTTTAGCGAGAGATTTGTTGAAATACAAAATATAAATGTAGCACTAATCATTTTAAGTTTTAACATTTTTACAATCCCTAGCTTCCCCATTGTCGATCACCCTGTATAATACTATATTGAAATATACTAATGTGGGGGGGTTCGACCCTTTGTGTGTGCCCGCGCGCGCAGTGCACCTGCCGAGGCGCCAAGTGTTAGTGCGGGGGTCCCGAGCGGCGGCGGCTGCGGCGGTGGGGGTAAAATGCCGCGTGCGTGTTCGTGACGTCACCGCGTACCCTAGAGGGGGTTGCCGACCCGGCGGCGGCGGCGGCGGCCAACGCGGTGGACGCCGGTGGTGACTGGTGATGTGCGTTTCAGTAACGTTCCCGAAGCGCAAAACGCGGCACGCGCCTCATCCGTTCCGACCGGCATGTGCATGCAATTTTGGTATATTTTTAGTTGTGCAGTTTTGTTTTGATTATTTGTTTTTTTTTTTTTTCGTAACCAAACCGGAAGATAACCCGACGACGACTGCTGCGAGTCACCAACACGGTTTGGTTTTAAGGTAAAAAAAAAAAAAAACAAATTACAGCCCTCACCCTGTTTGTTAATAGAAATTAAAACATTATTTTTTTGTTTTACACGACCGTTGCTTTTTACTTTAAGCCTTAAGAAATCATAATAAGCACGCACACGGTCGTCTGTAGCTTTACAGTAACAACAATTCGTTTAATATAATCGACGGTAATAATGTTGTTATGATGATAACAAAAGTTCCAATTAAAAGCGTATCGAATTGATGGGGGTCTACTTATTCCTCGCCTATATATTTTAACGCTAATTATTAACGCAAAAGTGTTAATCCAAAACTAGTCTTCCACTCGTTATTAACGTCATTGCGTAATTGTGCTATTTCACTTTTAAACGTTACCCTCTAAAACTTACCGTAACTGACTTTATGAACACATTACTTCAAAACATAAAAAGTTATTTGAAAAAAGAAGGCGTATTATATTAAAATTATAGTATGCGCGGACGAGAGGAACTATATAAAAAAATGTTTTGCAACTATATCGATTTTAGCCAAACGGGGTTTTTGTTGAAATTTACTTTTCACTTGGACCGAAAAGGTTGCCTAATCTAATCTTGGGGTTGTAACACGACCGGTCGGTTTGTCTGGGATACCTGAGGAATGTCTTTTGGGAGGACTTTTGCCGAAGGGCGACAATTTGCAAAATTATAATACTTAAAAAAACTGTTTAACGCCTGGTATATATCATAAATTATTGTGGTATACGACGGCCTTCGAACAATAATAGTATGTCCTGTGCCGCCGGTTCACAGTATATACAGGTATACATTATTATACTGTAAAGTTCAGAGATAATAATATTGCTATTGACCTTTTTTTTTTTCTTCTGCGGGGAAATACCTATCGTCGAGCACACGTTCGGCCGTCGGTTTAATATTATAAATTATAATAAGCTAAATAATTTTCCATATTTACTGTGCTTAACTCTTTCCGACTTTGATGCGGTAAACGCAATCCCGACGAAATTCTCAAGCGTTCACTTCCACATTAGCACAATCGCCCCGATTCCTATTTTAAAGTATAATAATATACCCAAAAAAGTGACGTAATAATATTGTTTTGATCAGCTTCTTCTGCCACGGTAATATATTTTGGTTTTTTACCGGACAGCAAAAAATAGTTTTCCATTCAAAGCGGTGGCGGTTACTGTAATGATAAATACCACCGACGGGGTAGACTCGGTAATACATACATACATATTATCATTATTATTATTATTTATTATTGAAATATACACCGGCTGCACGTGTACACCACCTACTTGTGTCTTCTTATCACCGACGGTATTTATACCTTGCACTTAAATGTTAATATTATGTTATTGGCCATAACCCCGTCGGCGGTTACCCCGAGATCCATATAGGACCGGTCCCCCCTCCCCCGAAACTGGTTTATGTTTAACTACGGCTGCGGGGAGTCCAGACCGAGCAGTCGTGTTGGACATTTATAATATTATTATATATTATATTATATTATGCTTCTTGTGTACAGTACCTATAGTACATGATAACCCACCGGCAACTACAGCTTAAGTGTAATAATTATTGCTGTGTAAACGAACGTCACGAAAATTGTAATGTTTTTTTTTAATATTATGGTAAACAATTGGAGAATCATTATTGTCGCTTTTGTTTTGTTAGGTTAGCTTTAATTTTATGTTTTAAGGTGTTTTGGTATCCCAAGCCGCCGCCCCCCCCCCCCTCTGAACTCCGCCAATCCCAGTATATACAAACGCCTAATCCTGTGCCCCCTTTGCTTATGCTACAAATAAGCGATCGAATTTGTTTTTCCATTTTGGCGACCCCTTTAAAATATTCTCTTTTTACAAAAAAATAGACTACCTATGACTGACTACCTATGGTCGTTTTTATTTTTTTACCTCACTTAGGTAAACCAGAGTAAAGGTCGTTCCTGCGCCTCGTGTCATAAATCGCCAAGACACGGTTTCTCTTCTATTCAAAACTGAATGAATCACTTATGTTATAATATAGCCGACTTATATTACCCATACGAAGTGTTACCACGCGTTACCCGTATAGTTGTTTATTTGTAACAATAGTATAGTTCCTCTTTTAAACGACAAACCGTGTGCCATGGCCGCCGTTGAAGTCTGCTGCAAATGCCCAATGGTCCTTGGGCAATGTAAAAAATTCAACTGTACAACGAAAATTTAACAAGAATCAAACGCACATAGTTGTTGTCCTTACCGAGTCCGAAAAATAAAATAATACATAAAAAACAAATTACAAGTAGTATCTACAGATATGCATATTCGATTGTAAAACTCCGGGTATAACTTAAGTCATCCACTGACAGTGGATGAGTCTTAGTCCTAGCAAAACACTAATACTGACTGATGCACTCAGTTTTGGTTTTTTTCCTCCAATTTTCAACAATGGAGTAAATAATAATACACGGTAAACGGAGTTAAATACCAGACGCCGGTTTACACAGAATAAACAGTGAAAAAGACTAGTAAAAAAATCTAGTTATAAACGTTTAATAAAAAAAATCACATAGTGCTAAAAGATGTTGGCGTTAACCGGTTGAGTGTTGTTTTTATGAAGAAAAAAAACCCATTATAAATGTTTATACGGTTTATGCAATTGTATCCACACTTTCGTTATGTAATCAATAAAATTGTATAATAAAATATAATAACGTTATCCGTGGCACAAAGTACACGCTTTTGCCTAACCAATAATTTAGGTGCGTTTGTTGGTTTAAAGTCATTGTAAATATTCGAATATCAAATGTCTTGGAAAAACGTTGTTGTTTTGTGTGAGTTTTCTTTTCCCTGGTTTTATTACTATATTTTGACCATAATTTTTTTAAACATTTTGTCCAGGTTTGGTAGAGTGTTGTTGTAAGTGTATGTTTGTTTTGAGGTCTTAAAAATAATTATTAGTATTGGTAGTTCTAATATATATTATTTGGATGATCTCGTGCAAAATCAATAGAAATAGTTTCACTTGTATTTCGAATTTTTCTAAAATTTACAATAAATGTACAGATAAGTTTTAGTACAGTTACAGTTAAATGTACATTTTGAGACATTTTTTATATCAAGAGATAAACTTTATGGTTTTATTTTTAATTTTCATATGTAGCGAAAATTGTTACATTTAAATTTCAAAAGTTGATAGAGCTCTGAAAAATACTGCATAAGAAAAAATATTTAGTAATTTTATAATATTGTAAAATAACATAAAACAAACATTAAAAAAAAAAAAAAAAAAATTGAATTTTATTATTTTAAGAGATATTGAGTTTCTTATCCTTAATGAATCACGTGAATTACATTTATATTATACTTATATAAATTATTTAATTGACTTTTTAAATAAAGTACAATTTGCTGAACATGTTGACAGGTCTAAGTGGTCGATAATATATTTTTTTAAGGTTATTAAAGTTTAAAATTAATGATGGGAGGAAGGAAGGGTGCATTACTCTACCGCACTCCCCCCTCCCGTTCTTAATTTTAAATTGTAACAACTCTAAAAGTAATTATCCAAAACCGGTTATCGACCGGTCAACATTTTTTAGAAAATTAGCCTTAAAATTAAAAAAAAAGTAATTAAATACATACCGTTTAAATTTTGAAAATCGATAGAGCTCTGGAAGACGGTAAAGGAGATAAAGATTTGAAATATTGTAAAACAGCATGAACTAAAATATCTGCAAAAAGAACAACTACAAAATTGCAGTTATTTTAAGAGGAAACTAATGTCTTATTCTTAATCTATCATCCCGTGTTGCAAAACGTGAATTGTATTACAATTCTTTTTTCAACGTTAATTAAATTTAATATACAAAAAAAAAAAAATGAAAAAATTGCATTTTTTTCCAACGAAATATGGTTAAAAAAACGTATTATTTTTGTACAGAACAATGTAATTATGCCGGTACTGTATTTGTTGTGTTGTCTTTCGATTAAAGTTGGAACGTTTTCGAAATTCGAATAGCATTCAACTACGTTCAGCTGCTGCTTTCGGTCAACCCATTTGTGAGTGTGTACTCGCACCGTACGAATTATGTAACTTGGTTTAGAGAATGTAATATGTTTTCTTATTACGGTTGGGTTAGGTTCAATTGGACGGGCACGGCGTACGTTTTGTAATTGAGCTTTTTGGTGGTCAACCGTGTGTGTGTGTGTGTACAAAAAGGTCGTAGGGTCTGTTGTGGTGTATTGCGAAATAAACAAAACGGAGGGGGGGGTAGGGTAAGGGCACCTCTATTTATATATCCGACCGGCGAGGGGTGGTAGAAATTAAAAAAAACCTTAGTCTGCCGTACACATCAGCCATGACCGCCCCTCTCCTCCTGTCTGTGGGGAATGTTATATGTTTTGCATATTTTATATTTCTGCATTTTCATATCCAACAAACCAACAAACCCTCCCCGTTCAATTAAAATTGAAATAAAATTCGCAAAAAGTCAAAAAACAAGCGAGGTCGATTGACCCGAGGCAGAAAGCGTTGGTTAAGTTTCTTTCAATAAGCGATTAGTGGCTTACCAGATCCTGTGGTTAGGTTAGGTTTCAAACTGGTCGTGTTCGGGTTTGACCAGGTTAGATTGGGTCAGCATTAAGTTCGATTAGCTTCGAAGCTAATAAAATGGCACATGTCTTAAATGACAATCGACGGTCTTCAGGAGGCACAAAACATTTTTATAAAAAAACAATTTTTATTTTTTAAACTAAATGTTTATTTTGTTTATTAAATTATTACCGACGAATGACTTGTGACCTTTTTTTGCACGTGAACGAAACCATATAATTTTTATGAGAAAAGACACCAAATAGGAAGCCACGACTTGTTGTGCGCGACTGTTATAAGTTCATTTATTAAGGCGCATTGTACAGGCAATTCTCCACCAATTATTAACATTAAGCTGTGTAAAGATTTTATATATTGTAATCAAAGGAAAGAGGGATCTATTTTTTTTTTTTTTTTGTGTGTTTGATTTTCGTTTTTCAACTTTTACAACGCCGTCGTAGGTACAGGCCGTATTTTTGTACATAAAACGTGTATTTTGTTTCTACTGCCGACGATCCAAGTTGCAATCTGAATAGTGCGTTTTGGATAACCTCCCCCCTTCCCCCTCCCCCCCCCCCCCCGTTCGCGCCGATGATCAACAACTCATGTCGGATAGCGATAGATTTATTTCCGTTTTCAGACTTGTGCTATTTTCGTTTTGGGAAATCCACCGCCAAGCTCCTCGCCACAACCGTCGGTGATGACGTCATCGACAAACTTGACACCCGAGACGCTACACGTCCGGGGCTTCCCGTGTTCTCTCCACACTACGCTTCCGCCCCACTCCGGATGGGATTTTTTTTCTTCAAATTTCCCCCCCCCACCCCCCACCGCCCAGGCACCGGTTAAGCGCTGTACTCGGGCACCTCTAGCCCAACGCGTGTTATTGTTTTTCTACTTGTAAACCGGACCGGGCTGTGGGGCTATTTAGCGCTGCGCTTTTTTTCAGACCCGACGTCGGGTCGATATTATTGTGTGTGTGCGTCGTTCCCCCACGACGACCACGTTCGTCGTGGGGGAGATTGTGTGTGCAGGGGTGCCGACTAGCGCATGTATATATGTATATACACGCGGACACAAAACAAGACCCCTAGAGGGAAGTCCCTTATATATATACATTTAAACCGCCTCCCCTGCAGCGGCAAGCAACGTCTCGCCCCCCCTCTCCGAACCACCCTATCCCTACCCTCCCTTTCCTCTCCCCCCCCCCCACCCCACTCGATCACAAATCCGGCCACCCCGACCGGGACAACAGGGAACCCCCCATCGTGGTACCCGACCCCGGGCTGTGCGTTACACGGCCCGAAACGCCGCTGCGAACGCCCGAGTCTAAAAATACACGGCGCCCGGCTTGGTTGTAATAAAAAAAATTTGAAAAAATAAGAATGAGAAAAAAATTCTTCCGAGCTTTTTTTTTTTATATACGTATACGTTTCCCGCATCGCGTGTTGTCAAGGCAACGCGAAAATTGTCTACCCGTCTTAACAGCTTCTTCTTCTTCTTCTTCGGAATACATTACACTATACGTAGTACATAGCTGCACACGCTAAGAACGGTGCCCAGACACAGGGATTTTTCCCTGTGGACCCTCTTACATGTCTATCTCGGTGGCCCCCGGGGTAGAAGCTAACATACTACGTAAGTTACTTCTTGCTATTTCAGTCAATCAAGTAAGGCGGGTACAAAATTCGTTGCACCATACTTAAGGAGTAAGAGGCACCTCCTACCTATTCACAGCAGTGACGACTGTGGACCCTGTTTTAATTGGGGTCTTGATGTCTGTATGTTATATATGCATTTGGATGTATTCGTTTAGTTTTGTTTTAAACATATTTTTATTTCTTGCATCATATTTACTCAGACATATTGCTTCAACGAGAATCCGGATTTTCAGATTCCATCACCAGGTCAAGGTATTATCAGTAAACTAATGAATTTCACGTAAAGCCTTCAGTGTCGTCGTCTGTAATATTAACCGTCGCCCATTCCCACTCGAAACAAATGTCTACCTTTGGACCATTAACTTTGGTTTTCGGTATTTGCTTGGACCGCCGATTTGTAAAAACTCATTCATGTGTAATATTTAATTTTGTAAAAAAGCACAAAAAACCTACTTCGAGTGATTTGTTCGATTTAACATGGAAAACACCTGTTGACGCAGATCAACAGTCAGTGTATTTATATATATATATATTGGCTATTGCAAAAACAACAACACAATGATTTAAAATTTTAATAAGTATTATAATAATATTGTTACATGTAAGTGATTTTTTATGTTCTTTATAATAATATTATTATGCGTTAATGACGTATATACGCGACAATGATAAAAAGGCAAACCGGCCGGTTTATCGCGAGTACCTGTTTTGCTTTGGCACTTGGCTTTCTAAAATGTATAATAATATAATATGTATACAATATTATATATATTTTTTTATTTCGTCTTCTCTCCGCTATTAACACCACCCACCGCCGTTGTACCTTTTTTTTTTTTTTTATGTTATAACGCCCGTTTCGATTAACGGGTCAATTTTGTCGGGCCTTTCCCCCCCCCCCACCATTCGGTACTTTATATACAACCTAAACTCCGAGAATTTCTCAGTAGGATATTCTTTATCATTAACGTTATAATATGTTGTGCGGTTTTTTCTCTTCTAACCCTCCCCCCCCCCGCGTGCTTCCCGTATCCACTCCAGGTTCATAGGGAAACGGAGATTTTCCCCGTGGTCCCTCCTGCATGTATATAATATCTCGGTGGTACCACTCCTTAACATTAACTAAAATGATGAGTTATTGTTATTTTTCAACGAAATGTTAGTGTTTTTTTTTTTTAATTTCTCGATGAAGTAGGTATAATGTTTATACGCCTACCCTGGCCTCTACTATAAGTTACACGTTACTCCTTAATCTTTTAGTCAATCAAGTAAGACGCGTGCGCGGTTTATCGAGAAAAGGTTGTTATTAAAATATATGATCTTTGGATAAGGCAGCCTATTGGTAAACCAAGTAAAGCAAATTTTTTTTTTTTTTTTTCCATTCCGGTCGCCCCTTTTACAAAATATATTTCCCCGTCACAAAAATACTACCCACGTCCCTATGTCCCTGCGTAGTCCCCGCTTTATCCGATTCCCCCTTATTCCCCTTACCACTGAGTCACCGCCGCGCCGAGGGTCAGCCCCCCTCGGTTTTAATCCCCCTTTCGGCGGCCGCTACTCCTCCCCCACGGCGCGGCGCGCCTCGTCTTCGCGTGGGGCCCGCGTGCTTTTAACGATCGGCAGCCGGGGTCGTCCTGCTGCCCCTCTGTCCGTTTCCCCACAAGGGAAACAAAAAAAATAAAAATTCATCGCTTGAAAAAAGCAAGGGTTATACCAGACACTCGACAGCAGCTTAGACCGTGAGTAGGGGGGGGGGGAGAACAGGAGGAGGGGTCGTGCACAAGCCACTGTGCACGGAGAACTTGAACAACGGATTTTGTTTACCGCAAGTTTAAAGAAATGTTTCTAAATAGTTTTTTCGTGGGATCACAAAAAAAAAAAAAGAAACCTTTTTCCGCGAAGGATGACGTCGTTTCACATCGTTTGGGGGTTGTTTACGAATCGTGTATTCGGTCAGGTTCGGAAATGGTTTTGTTGACCTTTTTTTTTTTTTTTTATTTCACCTTTACCCAAAAACGTCGTTGTCGACCTGTTGTCCGGTGCCCGGATACAAGTCATGTGTACAAGACGGTCCCGGAGAAGAAAACTCGACCTTTGCCGTTCCTAGAACGGCGAAGAGAAACTATTAGCTACGAATCGCGGCCGTTTCGGATGGACCTTAATTGATATGCAAATCAAACGGTACCTAATGTATTATGTATTATTAATATTATTATCGTCTTGTCCGAGTGTCGTACCATTATGGACGCACTCCGGTGTGTGTTCGTGTGGGATGAATGCAACGCTTTTTTTCCGTTCGGTCTAATATTATTGTTGTGGACGTTTTTAACACATGCACAACTATATGCGGGACCCTCGCCAAGGTTTTATAATGGTGTGTTGTGTGTACCCCACGGCCTGCACGCGGCAGGTCTATCCGAAAAAGGTCCGTCTTTCTCTCCCCCCCGCGACGTGCACGCCCCCGACCCTTCTCCCGTCCCTTTCCTCTGCGTTCCGGATAAAGTGTATGTGTATATATATATATATATATATATTAAATGAGTGTCTAGAGAGAGGGAGACAGAGAAACTATATACGCGCACTGTACTGAGACGAAGACCCCCGGCAAACCGAGCCCGGGTACAACAGGGGTGACCAAAATTCCAGTGCTTGCAGCTCGACCGAAAGTAGCGAGATTTTGAGAAAAGGATACCAATTTGAGGAGGGGGGCAGGGGCAGCAGGTTAGGGAGCAAAAACATCTACATCCATAACGAAACCGAAAGACGGTGTTGTATTCAATTTTCAGTGTATCCCTTATTTGGCTCGATATGCCATTTTTACCGCCTTACAGGTTCTCACAAAACTAAGTCAATTGTTTAGCTTGTTTATGTTTTTCACTTATAATTTCTTAATATTTTTTATAATTTATATATGTACTCGCTTAACTATATACAAAGTGATCAGTATGTAAATTAAGTGGTACAACTATTTTTTAATTTGACTATAACTGTTATAAGTAAATATGTTCCAACTGTATTATAAACTATTTTATATTTTAAACGTACCACAGACGCCTATTTTAAATACACCAGAATCTCGCTATAACTTCTTAAAAAATAGTACTATTTTTTACCTTCCACGTTCGATAATTAATAATAATTATTTATTTACTCGCTTAGCCGATCAACGTCAAGACTGATTGAATTAATCAAAACAAACGTACATATAATTATTACAATTGATCGTTTCCAATTACACCAATGGACTGTTGTTGTATTTTTCCAGATGACCAACGACATGGAAATCACCAACAAATCGTTTCATCTGCGGTGGAACAACCACTTGGAGAATTTACGTTCCCTGTTCGAATGTCTTTTCAACGAGCAGATACTGGTCGACGTGACCATAGCCTGTCAAGACGGTTTGCTCAGGGTAAGGCGGCGCCGATCGTGTGCGATCGACGATGATGATTTATCATATATAATAACACTACTGTGCATATTTGTTGTAATTGCAATAAGCTGTACCTATTCGTTATTTGTTCAGGCGCACAAACTGATTTTGTCGGCTTGCAGTCCGTACTTTGAGACGATTTTCCAAGAAAATCCCTGTAAACACCCGACGGTGATCATGAGAGGGGTTACTCTGCACGAAATGCAAAGTTTATGTCAGTACATGTACGTGGGTTCGGTGGAAGTCCAAGAGTGCAATTTGAGTTCACTGTTAAAAGTAGCCAGAGAGCTACAAATCAAAGGTAAAATTAAAAAAACCATCAAAAGCGTGTTAAAAATGTAAACTAAACGTGTTCGGTTTGCTTACTTACTTTTATTCTTTTTTTTTTCGTAGGTCTGTCAGAAAAAACCGTATCCGACCAACCGAGGACCAAACCGGTGGCGTTCAACCAGAAGCCCATCAAACTAGAGACTACGGACCCCGACGTGAACGTCAAGTTAGAAATGGTAAAGCCTGCCTTCCCCTGAACTCCAAATAGCATCGTTGTAACGGTGTAGTGATGGTAAAACATGTGCACGTCTTATGGCAGTGGATCAATTCAAAATACAGTACTCTCCGGATTACCTTATTAACGCTAATATGGTTTAGTTGGGGTAAGGGGGTCAGTTTAAAATTTGCGAAGCCGTGGATGTGGTTAAACCTTTGGACGACCCCTTGCCAGAAAGAGACATAGATATTGCTACAGAAAGAGAACTGTGCTCTCGCTCTCTTCCCCGTTGCGGATCACAACACCGTGTGTTATTGGAGTGACTCATCGGTATAGGATCTACGGCCCCATTGATCTATCATAGGAGGCGAGGAAGTGTGATAAGACATAGGTAGGGGGAGGGGGTGGGTGTTACGTTTTCAGGATCGGTTGATGCCATGAAACGTATTCGTGTTATGCTTATCGCGTTTTGACGTTTTTTTTTTTGTTGTATTCTTACCAATCCGTCTTATTGCAGACCAACGGCAGCACCAGTTCGAACGAACCCGAACCCGACTCCGGCGGCAACTACCACGTGCCGTGCGAGGACGATTCGTACGACAACAGCAGCTCCTTCGAGCACACGAACATGCTCAGCCCGCAGGTGATGATGATGGACGAGCAGGCGGACGAAAACAACAAACCCACCATACTGTCGCAGCCCAAGTACCATCATCATCCGTTCCAGGTGAACTTCCAGGCGATGGGCAACGCGGAGTCGCCGCAGAGCAAGATCGTCGGCGCCGTCGAGTGTCCCACGTGCCAGCGGACGTTCCTCAACAAGCAGAACCTGCGCCGGCACATGCAGACCCACTCGGGGCTGAAACCGCACCAGTGTTCCTATTGCAACCTGTCGTTCCTGAGGCTGTCGCACTTGCAGAGACACCACCGGACGCACACGGGCGAACGGCCGTTCACGTGCACCGAGTGCCCGAAGAGCTTTTCCCGGTCCGACAAGCTGAGGTATCACATTATGCAGCAGCACGCCGCCATGGCGCACCTGCCGGGACCCAAGCAGAGAGGTAGACCCAAAAAGGTCAGCATACCATAAAGCTAGTGTTATTCCGTCTACTGTTATTCCGTCTAGAAATTTTTGAAATTTTCCAAAAACAACGAAAAAAAGGTCTTAACCTTAGACTTTTAGCCGGTTTCGAAACTAGACGCCTCGCGTTAAGATGTCAAACGAGTATATCAGAGGTCTTATAAGCATCTTGTAACTTTTTCCAAGACGCAAAATGTTTGTACTTAAACCGTTGCTATTTTGTATCTTGTGTTGAAAATTTGCTGATGTTGCCCATCTCCGTGTTTGGAAACGATACATTCGCCATTGTGCATTAAGTACTTAAGAAATATATATATATATTTTTTTTATATTCTGTTACAAAAATCAAACATTGCTTTCCTTGCTCTGACTTTGATTTTTTATACTTTTATCGGTTTATGGAAATCCAATTGTTATTTTGCACATTTTTTGGAACTGGGTAACCGTTACATTAAGTACCCAATGTAAAGCATTTTCAAATACTTTTATATTTTTAATTATTTCAAAAGTATTCTATGTGTTGTTTTCTTAAGACGTGTTTTCTGGTGTTTAACGATAATGACATTTTTAACTTTAGCGTTTAATACATTAATTAGTCACACAACATTTTCTATTTTTGTTCTAAAAATAGCAACCAATATTATTTTTTTAAGGTTGAAAAATCTCACAAAAAAAAAAAAGTTTCCATTCTTTTCTATACAACTTTGTAATGGCGAATGCAAATACATTTATAATAAATAGTTCCTAGATACACTCTGTTTTTAAGTAGACCTTAAATCTTAAATAGCTTAGATCTCGGACTAAACTGTGTATCTAGTTACGTTACAGCTACGGTCTAGTGCTAGAATTTTTTTTTTTTTTTTCAATTATGCTTTAAGTTCTGTTTGTAATTATTGGGCTAACTTTTTTTTTATTTTACAGTTTGAGTCGCCCACCAACAACGTAGACGTGACTATGGTTGCCAACATACAGAACTACGAAGAACAGTGTGTACCCGTACCCGTCCAAGAGCTGCAAGAACCTTTGAACTTGGCTCATTAGATCTCCAAGATTTCCATAATTATTATTATTATCATTATTAACTTAAGAGTGTTATTTTTAGTTTTTTTTACCTTCATGCTTTGATTTGATTCTCATTAATCGTATACTATATAGATTATTATACGAACAACGTAATAATTTGTCAGTGGATTTTTCAAGACACTTTTATTCTGTGATAAAGTGAATTTATATAAATATTGTAAATGTTTCTTTTTTTTTTTTTTTTTACTATCTATAAAATCATTAGTAACTTCAAGTGTGCTTAAAACGGTTTGTCGATCAAAGTTGATTTTTATTCAAAAAAATAAAAATAAAAATCATGATAACTTATATGACAACAATTAAAACTTGTCACGGTTTATAATTGTATTTTTTTTTTTTTTTTTTTGTAAATTTATGACGAGAATAATATATAAAATTATATTTTAAATTGCGCCACGGCGGTGTATGAAATAAGTAACGTTTGTTTTAGTCATTTCATGATATATTATTATTATTATTATTATTTTTATTTTACAACCAGTTGTAAAATTATTTTGGTACCTATATCAATATTATTAAGAGACGACTGATAATATTATTATGTTATAAAATATACATATTATAAACTGTGCTGTATATATATATATATTATCGAGAAAACAATTTCCACCAGAACAACTACCGATTTGAAATTGTATATAAAAAATGAAAAAATTGGTTTTACTTTGTCGTTTTATACTTATATATTATATATTTAAATTGTAACATAATATTATATCCTTATATTCTATTGCGCGTCCTTGTGTACGCGATATAAATATTGTTTGTTTGTTTGTTTTTTTTTTTTTTTTTTGTAAAGTAAATATTTTAACATTAATTAAAAAGATACATATTTCCTTTAACTGTGTTTTGTATGCGTATGTTGTAGTTTCTCGAAACTAAAATATGTTCTAAAATCATACTTGAGGGGATTGCATGCGGTCTGGTTTTAAGGAGTTTTGTATAGGCAATATTTAAGAAAATTGAGGTTTTAATCATTTTCGACCATCCTAAGTAGTCGAAAACTTTGTCAGACTTTTTGGTATGAAGTCAAAAACACAGGCCGCATACAACCGTCCCCTTATGGAGGGAGAGTACCTTAGACAGTTTTATGATTACGTAACCGAAATAAAAGCAGTTTTTTGTCTTTTTCTTAACTGGTGGCCTCTTTTACAAAAAAACCTAACTACCTATCCGCTTTATGGGGGGCGGGGGGGGGGGGTTCTATAACGGCGCCAGACAATTGTTGGACCCTAAACTTTTGAAAAACCCTCCCGCCGTCTTGCCGGTCGGACTCTGTTGGTTCGAGGCGGTCGGGTTGCAGGCGGAACACCCGTTTTTCCTGAGATGTCTGTTGTTGACGTGCATCAGCGAATTCCGCATCAGACCGATCTGCGTGGCCATCTTGAACACCTCCTCTTTCAGCTGATCGTTTTCCGTTTGCAAGTCGACCGGTTCGTCGCGAGCGTCGGCGCACGACATCTCGTACGACATCAGCCCCTTGGCCGGCAGCCCCTTGCTGTCCCAGTGGTCGCCCTGGCCGCTCAACACCCGCACCACTTTCGAACCGAACACCAGGCCTATGGTGACCGACGTGCTCAGCTGGGTCCGGATGAATCCCAGCGTGTACTTGAGGTCGGGCCCGATGTTCGGGAACAACAGAAAACTGTAAGAACAACGATAAAAAATGAATACAAAAAGCTACTTTTGCAAACTCTACCGTATCCGTAGCTATTATATTGTATCGATAAAATATATTGATTTTAAAAATAACTGATCAATAATTAAGTTGTATACCTATTTAGTTTACATTTAATATTACTTGATGCATAGGCAAGTGTAATTTAAATAGCAAAATTACAAGAATTTTTTTTGTTTTTTATCAGTAGACATGAGTGATAATCTGGATGGATAAAGTACAAAGACATAACACGTCATGACATTTATGACAAAAAAATTGTCATATGGAGTGAAAGAAATGTACAACAGGTTGGCTGAAGTCAAGAAGATGTAAGTTATTCTGTATAGATAATAAGCCATGCAGGTATGTGTGATTATTGTTAGTCTTAGGCCCTGTGTATTAAGCAATATATGTCACATTAAAAAAACAAGATACCAACTCAAATAATACAGATGAACTTTATTAATTATCATTGTGATCTCTATACCTAATTTCCGTACAGCGCCCAGCCAAGTCCAAGTAACTTAATGTATGTGACCTTTGCTCGTTAAACAATGGCATTAGATTAATTTAGACTAATTTAAAGTTGTAATTAACGGTCGATGTACTCGTGTAATTGACTAATACATTTGAACTTGCTTCAGACCTACGAGAGTCGGGAGTAAACGATTTTATATACCATAAAATATTTCAATCCATCTTTAACTAGTAACTACAATTTATTGGCTATAATTTGTTTATCTGGCTAAAACTTAACTGTAAAACACTAATCTTGAGTAGGGATCTAAGTACAATTTATAATTTCTGCTTCTGTCTTAACTTAGTTACTTCCTCTGTTCAAGACTTTTATGCGGAAACCAATGAAGTTTTTTTCAATTGTCAAAAAAAAAAAAAAAATGAAGCATGGAAAATGAGGTAAACCATTATATTTTTGTAATTATCTTGAGTCAGATCATTAAGATAATATAAACATTTAATTTAACCGTGTTAAGTGAACAATTTTACTAACTCGTGTCTCGATCAATAATAGCCACACTAAATATAATTTAATTATTTTTTATGTTTTTTAATTGATTCATAAATGTATGCTGTATTTTGTCTAAAATGTATTTTTTATAGACATATCAATGACAATATCAAACGCGTAACTAGTATAATATACTAGCTGTACCATAGTGGATATACATACTGAATTATCATCATTATGATGTTGACGATGAATATGTTGTAAATGGCGAAACTGATTAATTTGGCTTCGTTGTAAAACGATTCGGCGTTCCGCACGACATAACAAACGCGAACTCCCCACGCCAAGAAAAGGACTTCGCCTGAAAACCAATAGCTTAAATGTAAGGTCTGTTCTCATCAGAACAAAATATATTCACGTTAAGATTTTCTCCTCTTCGAGGGCAATTTTTTAAACAATTAATACGTTTTGTTTGTGGTACCCGCCCGCTCCTAGAACCGTATCACCATTGCTTATCTCTTATCATCCCCCATTATCTCTTATCACTCCTTATCACTTCTCCTTATCTCTCGGGTCGACAACCGGGCGTATTTTGATCATAATGAAAAGGGTCTTGAACCGACCCCAGGCATAAGCCACGCATTCGAGTTGGCAACATTAAGACGGCGATAATAATTACCGGCTGCTAAGCAATGATCCCACCAATCGCTGGAACACTGCCAGAATTTCGTTCCCTCTTCGCTTTTGACCAGCACCGCCAGTGGAGGATCGCTCAGCGTCCAAGAGCCCATGTACACCAGTATAATGACTAGAATCGGGGTCATCCATTGCAACAGTTGATTGTCGGTAAGTTTCAGCTTATGGGCAGACTTCACTCTGTACGTCAACGACACTCTCCACGTCTTCATCAACAAGGCGGAATAGGTTATGCAAAACCCAAAATGTCGAGTCCACTTGGTCGCCACGCACAGCTGCTGAGAGCATTGTGGGAACATCATACCCATCTAATAGGAGTCAACATATAATCATAAGGACGATTATTTGTAACAAGGACGATTGGAACTGTTAGATTTGAAAAGAAAATAATTCCTTTTTTTTTGAAATAGCTGTTTTAAAATAGTCAGTATTTATTTAAGCTGTTCGTTCAGTTCGATGGTGTAAATTTAAGTAGTTTTGATTGGGCACTCAAACTAATTTCCTTAAGACCTTTTTTTGTTTTTTTTTTGTAATCGTTAATTGCTATGATTTTTCAGGCGTAATCAGATTTCTACGCCCGACTTTGCACCTTATACACACTATAATATTTGTATTATTTCTGCCTAGGTATTTTTAATAATTTAAAAACCGTTGCACATTACTTCGGAGTACATTATGATGCATCCTATCAGCGTGATAACGAGGAAGGTGGGACTTGCTATCCTGAACACTTTGATCCGGCGATTTTTGTGCACGAACCAAATCAGTATCACGGTCAACACGATGCACACCAGGGTGATGATGAGAAAAATACTCCTGGAATAATATTAAAAAAATATATATGTTTCTCGATTATTTTGAAAATAAGCAGGTGCTCGACATGCTGTTGGTTTATGTTCGGTGGTGTGAAATCAACCTGCCCATAACGCTAATATTATAACCTCTTTATCCAAGAAAACCGAGCCATACAACTGTCTGGTCCTTGGCAATCGTCGCACCCTATCGAGCACGGATTGCAAGAATACTTCTCGTCGATTTCGCTCAACGAGGCTACTAAATAAAATACAAAAATACCGACATCTTTAAACAAAAACTAAACGCAAGATTACATAACATTTGTTTCTTTCGGATTGCGTTGGGGCTTTACCTTCCACGTCGGCGCCGTCAAATCTGCCATCAGTGGAATAATATCCGGTTTTGCAAGCACACCAATAATTTCCTGAGACGAAACGCCTTGGTGTTTGCTCTTTGAAAATACACTCGGTCGTGTGATGGCATTTGTTCGTGCCGTTTAGTAAATTTGTTCCCTGGGATTTGTCACACTGATTGATTGTGATTGTTGACAGATCGGATTCGATCACGATACTGAAATCAAATTAATTTTTTTTTTTACAACACGTAACCGATTAAAAATCACATTATACACACGTGTATTAAGCGGAGCGTTCACGATTAATATCACCTATCTATCATAGTGATACTAAAAATATTTTATTTTAATACAAATCAAACTTTTTTCAAAAATTTTACTGCTTATTGCTGGCTCTGATAGTGTCTATTAATAATTTGAAAGCATTTTAAATATTATATAATAGTACTCTCAGTAATTACATCGGTACAGTTTTGATTTCCTTGAGTTTAAATAAAAACCGAGAATATTTGTTACATAAAACAGAAATTAGAAGGGTATCTTCTAAGCAGCCGACATTTTTCAATCTGTTTATTGATAATTAAGTTAAGGGATAAATTAAAGTTCACTTTAAATAGTTTAAGTTAATACTAAAATTATTTATAAAATCTTAACAATATAATAAACTAAAAAAAAAAAAAACATCATTCCTTTACGGTTGATGCCATACACAATTCAGTTTTATAGTTTAGGAGCAATTTTTAAAAATAGCTAGACGTGCTTGAGATGTATTCATTAAATCCATAACAATAATTTAATTATTGAAATAAAATGAAGTTGATAAACTTTAAATAATTATTAATTAAAAAAAAAACCCGAAACTGGAATATGTCTTATGGGCGGTCTTCCGTCTATTTCGGATGATTTTCTTATCAATTATCTCTTATCAGTTATCCCGGGATTATCGATTTCCCTTTACCGCCATCCCACCCTCACCTCATTATTATTACTGTCCCATCTCTTTCCCAACACCATTAGTCGGTAGACTGCGACCGCCACCGCTAGACGGCGCTAGCTGTGCGTATGTCAATTTTCAACTTGGATTTTTGGACATTTAACGCAACGCGCAAGTGCGAATTAACGATTCGTCCGTATCGGGGAACTGGATCTTTGAAGTGGTACCTTTATTTAGGTTTTAGTACGAATGCAGTAAAAGCGACAACGGTCATAATATTATATTATTGAAAGAATCACACGGTTGGACTTACGCGATTTGATTTTCGAGTGTCACTTCAACGTGTTCGACTAACAAACCGTTGTCGCATATCCACTGTGTGCCATTGCGGTCGGTCGGCGGAGGAGAGGAGTCGCTCTGGTGGTATGTTACACGGTCGCCGTAGGAACGTACGAGCCGTCGACCGGAGTAGAGTTCCAGCGAGATCAGTCCCGGTTCGGTGGCCCACAGCCACTCGCAGCCGGCCGCCAACAAATCTGTAAAAGGATTTCACAACAAAGTATATATATATATATATATATTAGTTTCGGGGTGGAAAACCATACTTTGCTCATCCCGTTGGCTCAACGACCCGACCAGATCCAACTTGGGCCCCAACGACGGCAGCGTCCAAAAAAGCAACGCCGTGTCCACGTTGCCGGTGCATTGCAACAGACTGCGGTTGCCCTTTGTGCCCAAAGCTCTTAACGCTTCGATTGGAGTTCGGCCGGTGTCGATCACGGCCACTGCGCAGCAGCTCACGGTCAAAGCGCCAAAGCACACGGCTAGACGGAGTGTCATCAGAGTGTCTCAACCGGGTCGAATCTCTCCGAGGAGACGCTCGCGAACCGAATGACCGTCTTGCCGGATCGACAAAGCCTTAACAGTGCGTGGTCAATTGAAGCCCCGCAAGTATATTGCCGCCGAGATGCGAGCAACGACGGTTTTTTAATTATTATTATTGTTATTCTCGCCCACGCGTTTCTTCGTGATAATATTGTTATAAACGTGCCCACTGATTGATAAACAAGAAGATGGTCGCCACGATACTTAGCGATGCCCCCCGTTCAAACACACAGCTATCAGTTATCAGTGTTGCCAACACGCTAAAACCTCGCGAATAGTTTTTGATCTCGTTATGTAAAACTTGCACGGAAAACAAACAGACTTATAATAGTTTATCGCAATAGTGTTTGTGTTCACATTTTCAGTTTTGATTTATTTAAAATACATTTAAAAAAAAAAAAAAAAAACGTTGGCAACACTTCTATGCTGATAACCATACTAACCACTAATAATTTGAAAACGTAACGGTCGCTAGAGTTCATGATGATAAAAGAAATGGTTAAATTTTTAAAAAAATGTTTTTATAACTATATAGTACTTATGTAATAATCGTATACTAAACTTCAAGTTAATAAATTTAAAAAAAAACATTCAAATTTCAATTTTTTTTATACATTTTTAGTTTTTTCTAAAATTAAATATTGACTACAGATTGTTTTTATGCAATGGGCACTTCTTCAGACTAATTTTCAACTCTCAAATCCTAAAATATTATAATATTTCATAAATAATTAAAGAAATTGATGGGGGGTTAGCCAATCACTCAGTTAATTGCTTACTACAAATAAAATTCCATCAGCTAATTACACCATATTACTATAATAAACTTTTATTGAAAAACATTTTTTTATAATTGGGAATAACGTTACTCTACAAAACCCACACTTTTTGGTTGGGCTTACAAATTAATCTTACTAATTTTAAAATTTGATATTTCTGTAAAATGTGCGTTTGTAAATAATTATTTAATTATTTCTTTTTGTTTAACTAATAAAATATTTTCATATTTTTATTACCAGATCAACGAAACTGACACATATTAATTTGAGATGTATAAATAATTCGAGGTCAAAATCAAATAAAATATCATTTAAGGCTTTTTGCTTTTGTATTCGGTTCAGTAGAAAATGTTCTAAATTATTCAATCAGTTGTAAGTCGTTTGTTAATCAATAACTATTAACAAAATTGAACCTAAAATAATATTTTACTATTTAACAAGTAACGCGTTTATATTTTAATACCAAATAATTTTGCCCAACGGCAACAGCATGTTATTTTCATGCGTGTGTGTATCAAGGTATGACCTTCGAGTCACCGAGGAATACACCTGTTGACGATCGCTTTTCGACATTTTGTACTAGGGGCTCATGATGAACAGAACGGAAAAAAATTATTCAAGGTACTGTCGTTCGAATATAAAATAACATGTATTATCAAGCAGACTTCCGGTTTTCCCGTTTGTTTGTTGTCTACAATCGAAGAAAGTAAAACTGCTTACACAAACTCGTGGCTATAATATAAATATATATTATTAAAAAAAAAAAATGAACAATTATATTGATATAAATTTAACTAAAAATTATTTTATACTTCCAAAATCGCTGTGTGAATTTCTGGTAAAAAAACGTGTAATAAATTATTTTCAAAACGTTGAAATTGCGTTGAAATCTCAAGGTAAATCAGCAAATGAGAATACATATATATATATATATATATATATATATATATACATATATATATGTGTATATTTTTTTTGAAATATGAATCACTCGTATAAAAATCGACAGTGTTAACAATACAAAAAAACGTATGTAATTTATATTAGTCACTGTTGTAAACAACCAATTTACGCTGTAAAAGGCAACGTTTCATGTACAAGACAAAATAATAATATAATGTCAGTGGTTTATACTTGGTACATTGAAAAAATACATTAGAAAAGTATAATATCATATTGTTGTTGTTGTTGTTGTGTGTAAAAAGTGTTAATTAAAAAAGCATACTGCGCGTTTTACGTTTGATTTAATGCGACTTTAATGATTTTATAGATTAAAATACGATAATTTGTATTAGTGCAACAACACATTGCTGTCGTCCGTATCATAATTGATTACAGTTGTAAATAATAATCTTTTATTCGTGTTATCTAGCTTTCGGTTTAATGCACAGCTCAATGCTGTTAATGTATCAACATTAAACACTATACAAGCAATAAAATATACTTACACACACTAAACTTTGTTTAATGCACAGCTCAATGTTGTTAATGTATCAACATTAAACACTATACAAGCAATAAATACTTACACACACACTAAACTTAAATTGTTGTTTTACACACACAACACGACCCGTTCTTTATATTATTATTACAACAAGATTCCTTTACACCAGCACATATCCCACTGCTAGCTTTTTCATTCGAGGTGCTGCTATTTAAGTTTTGCATTGCTAGTGCTCATTTAGTTTTCACTTGTATGAATTCATTGTAATGAGCTTCATATTATAAACAAGTATAAACATATAACGTGCAAGTCAAGTATTATATATTAAGACATATTGTATTGGAATTGATAATAAAACCATTTAACAAGGGTTGGTTTTTCAAACGGAAATCTACAAATATTACATTTTAGTAGGACGTCATAAAAGTATATTATATTGTCACTACTGTGTGAACACAAAAAAGCACTGATTTCGAATCATATTCTACTTTTGTCGGTCAATTCAACTTGATCCGTGAGAACGCGCCTTAAGACCCGTATAACAGGTGGTTAAATAAATGTGGTTTGCCGGTTATGCTGGTTTGCGCCGCCTCGCCACACGTACGGGCGTGTGTGAACATTGTGTGTGGCGGACGTGTGTGAGTACAAACTACATGTGTGTACTGGCGTTGTACTCGTGTTGGAGGCACACGAGCACCAGGGTCGCATGGACGCGTGCCGGAGGCCTATGCCCGCACGGCGCACACACATGCCAGCCGTGTGTGTACCGACGAAATGTGTCCGTGTACCGCGTGTCCGTGTGTGAGTCGCTTGGAACTACACACGAGGCATAAATTCAACGAGCCCGACTACCAGTGTTGTATGGGTCGGGTGGACGGTTTTTTTTTTTTAGTTATTTCAATTCTTATAATATCATGTGTATAGTATAAGTGTGAAAATAATATAATATACTACTATATTTATGTATATTTAAAAACTTAAAACGATGTACATATTTTAATTCTTATATCTGGTACATAATAATATAAGTGTGATAACAACATATATTTAATATACTGGATGATTCTTTTATCATGGCAAACAAAAAAAAAAAAGGTGAACATCATAGACCTATAAGGATTTCTTTATAGGTCTATGGTGAAAATTCATAGAAAAGTCTAAAAAATTAACGGTTATTTAGACACATAATTATTTCAACTATTTTGATTGATGTATAGTCGTTTTTTTGACGTTTCTACGAATTTTTACCTTAATTTTTTTTTCTAAATGTTTTTATGGAAATCCAAGTTTGAAATTTGCACACATTTTACGTAAAACGTTTCAGCTTTCTGAAAAAATCTTTAAATAAATTCTCATACTTCGGGCAACACGAAAAAACGTTCGATTATAAGAATTCATGTATATATTGTTATTTGTTGTCACACTTATAATATGTACATGGTATAAGAATTTAAATATATATTATTAGACCTCTTTTTTTTTGTTTGTTTTTATGGAGATACCAGTTTGAAATTTACACACATTTCATATTTTTATGTACAACTTTCACAACTTTCTGAAAAAAATATTAGACAAAATTTCGAATTTCGTGCAACGCGAAGCCAACCTCTCAATTTCAATAACTTTCTGTTACTCGAAAAAAATTTTTTTTTCAGAAATCTGAGTTTAATTTACATAAGAAATTTGATACTAATATACATAATATATTATTTTGATGGCTGAAAATACTATCAAAAGGAAGAGTGAATGAATAATATTTTTTTTTAAACGCATAAAATTGCATTGGCTATGGTCCTTTTTATGGGGGAAGGGGAGGGGGCACGTGTTACCCTTCCGGTTCCGGACAAAATTACTACCTGATAGATGTACCAAAAGCGTTAAGGTTTTTCTGTCTTTTTTTGTTTGTTTAATTTTTTTTCAAAATAAAGGACCACTTAAGTAAAATGGACCGTTGTGAAAAGCTGAGGGGAAAAAAAAATCAAACACAACAATAGGACAGTGTGCGACTTCGATCTAATTCGATGCGGGCACGTGTCTATTATGTTATTATTACTTGAGAAATGATAATAATATTAACCTAACCATTCAAAACTGCATTTTCCAAGACGATAAAGTGGACTTGGACGACACGCTTTGACCCGACCAACGTGTACCAGGGAACCATAACGACAAGCGTGCACAACTCCAAAAAGTATACTACACAATATAAAAACCTACAAGTCTTAACTCACAAAAAAGACCAAATCAGTCAAAATTACCTAAAAAAAAAATAACGAAAATTGAACAATCAAACTGATCGACAAATTATTTTAATACATTTTGAACAGATAACTTGCCCAAAAAGTCAAATATTAATTTATTGTTGTCGAAAAAAAGTTAATGCCACTCAATGCATTTTCACGATATTTTTCAATTAAAATGTAAATTTTGTACTTTGCTTTAATCACAAGTTCACAACAGATAGATCTATGCTGAGTTGTGCAAATATAAATCTAATAATATTAAGCTTGCATACATGCTAAAAGTGGCCAAAATAATATGTTAAAAAAACCTTCAGTAGTACAATTTTATCACTTTTACAATTTCATTTTTACTTTTATAATTTAAAATAGTATTTTTGATCAATCTAATGTAGTTAGGACATATTATTGATAAGTTGTACTGTTGGTTACATACAAATTATGGATACAGTCCTGAAATTATTGACACTAACTCATTTGGCCGTCTTGGTTTTATTTCCAGCTTTTAAGAGGGCGTCGCACCGGTGAAAATAACTCGCTTAATTTTGGTTTTTGAGTAAAAGTTTTAGAATAAATTAACTACCAAAATAGAGTCCCAGTTATTGAACTAATAATTACACATCACAGCTTAATTAAGATTTTGTTAAAAATTGCATATACTTTACTCCTTTAAAATGAGCGATGCGAC